CTTTCCCAAGAATTACACTTTATTTATCATCTCAATACAATATACACATTATATATCACAATATATACATTTTTGCCTCAAAAGTAAAGCTGCATACCTATTACCCTTATTTAAACTTCCAGATCAAAGACTTTAAATGTAAAAAAACCAAAACCATGAATTATTTTTTAATAAAGAATGCCTTTCTAAATGAAACAAAATCTAAAAGCCATGAGAATCTGTTAAGCTAATACGCATTTTTTAAATGGTCTTCATGGCAATAAACACAAATTCAAGGGATAAACTGGAAAAATATTTTAAGTACATCTCAAGAAGATGCCCAACTTCAATTTTATGTTATTGCGAAAATGCAAATTTAAACTACAAGGTACTACTTTTCCTTCAGACTGGCAAAAATGAAAGGAGTTTGATAAGGCACTGTGTTGGTGAGGTGGGGAAACAGGTACTCTCACTGCCTGTGGGTTAGAACATAAACTGGGACAACCTCCATGAAGGGCAACAAAGGGCAATTTGGCAGAAATTTCCAAGACTGAAAATTGAACACGGACAAGATTGCCAAGATGGACAGCTTTATAGGTGTTTACAGGCTGGATGATTTATAGGTGTGTATTTAAAACACAAATGTATATGAAATATTGCATATCTCTGGAAGGAAACACAGGAAACTGGTGTTTGCCTTTATAAGGGGAAACTGAGTATCTGTATATAGGGAAGGGTAAGAAAGATTTATTCGTTTTTGTAACTTTTGAATTTTGTAACATATATTACCTATTCAAAATTATGAAGCTTTTGAAAAGTGAACCTGTGGGCTAAAAGTTTTTCCAAGGCTGACTCTTCATCAAGACATGAAGCATTCAGTAAACGTAGTATAAGACAATATGGAAAATGTCCTTTGCACACATTTAAATAACAGAACTTCTTAGTAACCTCTTGCTTGCTACCATCTCTTGAAACCCAGTTTCTTTTAACAAACCCAGATAAAACTGGAAGGAAATGGGGAGAGGTTTTCCCTCCAAGTCCAAACCTGAAATTCAGTTCCCTAGGAAATATTTTATATATTACAGGTCAGGGAGGAATCACTGATATTTTATGTCCAATTATCTCTGCACAATATATTCTCAAAATTCTGTTGTTAGAGTCATATTGTGATAAACCACAACAGAGGCTAGAGTGCTGGGATGAGAGCTATTTATTAGAAACCTGGAGCTAGAAAACAGGTCTCTTTACGTTTTGCTTAAAAGTTCGTGATTAGGGCTTCCCTGGTGGCACAGTGGTTGAGAGTCCGCCTGCCGATGCAGAGGACTGGGTTCGTGCCCCGGTCTGGGAAGATCCCACATGCTGCGAAGCGGCTGGGCCCGTAAGCCATGGCCGCTGAGCCTGCGCGTCCGGAGCCTGTGCTCTGCAACAGGAGAGGCCACAACAGTGAGAAGCCCGCGTAACGCAAAAAAAAAAAAATAAATAAAAGTTCATGATTAAACTTATAATCCTATTGTAAACACACGTATCCTCCCTTTAATGTGCTTGTTGTCCTCCCTTTAATGTGTATGTTGTCAAAAACTGAAGTGGTAAACTCTCTTCCCTCTATACCCCACCACATAATGTCACCATTCCTGCT